AGCTAAGCATCAATTACAATATCACAAACATATTTAGAACTTGACCTGACCTTGCAGTCTGAAATCAAGGGAACCTGCTGGTGGCCTGGCATTTCTCTTCTCARGTCCATCTGTGAAAATGGCACTGTGCCACTGCTCGCAAGGTGGGCTGCAAGATTCAACAGTGTGCAGGAAGCAAACCCAGGGCAGGCAGCAGCCCCCTGAACAGGAACTAGGGCTATGCACAGCCACAAAAAAATCATGCAGTGGCACTTTTTTTTTGCCAATTAATATTAAGCAAATGCTATCGTAAAAATAAATGTGTGRACTAGCAAGATGGTTGAGGCTTTTGAGAACAGATCTATACATCTCAATCTCTAGATCACAAGTCCAAATCCCGTTCATATCAGTTACAGCCAAAAAGAGTGAAAATTTTAAGACYTGGATCTTATTCTCAAGCTTTTTGTATGATTTCATGCAAAATATCCACCTGTTTCTGCTTCGTGTCTTCTTTGTAAAGAACTAAAAGGATACTACTCAGCAGATTWGTAACACATTTTAGATGCAAAGATGAAATGCACAGATACAGGCATGGTCCACCATTCTCTGAAGCCAACTGGAAGCTTCTCAGTGATTTAACATATTTTGAGTTAATCCTGMAGAAGTAGTTATATGGTGTATGAAAAACGTATTAGACACAAATCATTTAGTCATCTTTCAAATGACTAAATACACGCTGAAGTTTACTTAGATTTGTGGAGCTGCACATGYCTACACAGAAATTTGCAGGTTTAGGATCAGACAGGCATCTTTCAATAGGCAAGCCCTGAAGCCAAGAAAACCAGAAAGTCTGGTAGGACTTAGTGGAAAGTCTGTGTAGAAGYCCTCACTCTCACTATGCTGTTATTGCTAAAAACGTTTGTCACCTGAGTTAATGGGAAATGAGTAATTTTTCATAACTGAAGATTCCTTTCTCCTTGAGAAACCCGAGGAAGAACACTGATGTCTGTTGCCTTGACAACATTTCCTGAAACACTCAAGCATTAAAGTATCCAGCATGCCCAAGAAAGTTGGAATATCTATTTCACAGTGGACATTTACCACATTTATTGTGTTGGCATGCACTCATCGATCATTTGTGAGTATTTGTCACACAAAGCAATGTGCCAAATAATACATCAGAAATATCTGAGCTGACTTAAATGCACATGGTATTTTTTTTTGCATATTTCCATGGCTACTGAAAGTTGTTAGATCTAGAAAAAAAAAGAGCATTCTTCTGTGATTTGTGAATATTAGCAAAATAAATACTGTCTTTCTCTGAATGCATTTCTTAATTGAGCAAAGGGATCACCTCTGCAGAGTGGCTGGAGGGAGTCCACCCCTGAATCTCAGGATTTGAACCCAAATCTTGGCCTTTCTAACATGTTTTTTTTTTGAGGGTGCTACCAGGGGCACAGCATGGATGTTTCTGAGATARAGACTCTTTTTGTCCACATCAGGARTGGCTGTCTCTCTTGCTGACTGCCCACTGCAGGAGACTGCAAAATCTGACTTTCTCAGAGGTGCTAAAGCCATACTGAGGGACAAAATAAGCAGGAGTTGTGAGTCTGAAATGTTGCAAAGCATCTCAATTTCTCKTTAAGTAAAAATAAATAAATAATTAGAATAGGCTTTTACGGGTAAAATAGACAGCACCAGTCTCTGTAAACCCAAAGCTAAGTTTCATGCCTTTTTTTTCCCTTAAGTTTTTCTACAGACTGCCCTAGATGAAGAAGAATAAGCAGAAGATGAAGCAGCACTAAAATGGGTTGCTGCTAATCATTTCTGATCCATTAGAGGGAAGTGTTTTGTACACAGTGTACCACACACTTCCCTCCAATCTATTCTAATAATTTCTTTGGATGAAAATGATGAGATAGTATACTCTGCTTCTGACATAATGAATTATTTTATTGACAAATAAAGTAAAATGTATTGATCAGTATATTTACTACAGAACACTTGCTAATAATTTTTTTAACAAAGGCAAAATAGGAAGTGTTTTGGGTTTTTTTCCCACTACATGTTAGTAGGTGTAATTTGGGCTGGGGAGTCATAACCTCTACCATGACAATTCCTGTTAGCATGCTACTTCACACCAAGAATGTGGTTTCCTTCCCAYRGGGGAAGCAGCAGGACAAGAGACAACCCACAAGATATAAATCATCAAAAAGACCCATATTTTCCAAAGAAACACTGCCAAAGAAAACAAAGAGGGAAGATAGTAATCCTCCTGTGAGAATCTCAAGCTTCATCTAAATTAAAACTTCAGGTGAACTGAAAGGTTGTGGGTGATTTCCCATACAGGATAAGGAGATTGTTTATTGTCCTGCCTCAAAAAAGGTCTGCAGCCCTCTCTGAACTGTGGCATCCTGTTCTGTGAATTATCTCCTGTGGCCCTGTGGCTGCTTCCAACCTCTCATCTCTGTTCTGACCAGAGGATTTATGGCATGCTCTGACCCCATCCTTTAGATGACCTCTCCTGCCCRAAGGGGACACACGTGCTGCCACAGGATATTCTCATGCTAGGCTTTGACTTATTAGTTCCTTTAGTCATATTTCGAGGGCTCAGTACTGCCCCTTTGGAGTTCTGCCAGTGACGAGCCATGAAAATGAGCCCACAGTTCTGATAAACTGCTCTGATTGCTCAGCAGCAGTGCTCACCTCYATCTTCYTAACTTGTCCAGCACCACCTAAACRACACAGAGTGCTTGAATGATGCCTGGAGAACTTTAATCCTGGACTATCCAAGCTGCTGATCCACACTTCAATGCAGGTAACCCAGTGTCTGTAGGCCTCTCTGCTTACAGAGCACTCTTGTTTTTTGTGAAAATTTCTAAATTTTCACAAATTAGAAATTTTCTAAAATTTCTGGACAGCTTGCACCTTACAGTGAGAGCAACCCAGCTTCTCCAAGCCTCTGTAGGCCTCCCTGCCTACATAGCACTCTTGTTTTTTGTGAAAATTTCTAAGGACCTGGACAGCTTGCACCTTACAGTGAGAGCAACCCAGCTTCTCCAAGCCTTGGAGGAGTTTGTTCTGTTCCATACYGAGAGCCACTGCTGCCCTCTGCTGCGGTACTTTGGGATGTGTCTCTGATAACCARTGAGAACCACAAATAGTCAAGTAAAATTTTTAGTCTCAACCAGAATTTAGCATCCTTAATGTTCCCATTAATGACAAGATCATTCAAAGGTCTGTTTCTAATTCATTAGAAAATTCTGATGCTGCAGGAGCCAGGTCAAAGAGAAAAATCTTTTTWATCTGATTTTGATTCTTAGAGGAGGGACACCCATGCTTCCTKTCTGCTGCAAATGCTGTCTCATCTTCTGATAAAAATATCCACAGAAGAATTAGAAACATGAAGTGAGAAACTAATCTTGGGGCCAAAATGAGCACCAAGGTTCTGCCCAGAATACATCTCTGATAACCTAAGCTTTAGCTTAAATTATGATGGACAGCCAAGTTTTAGGTCAATTGAACTAATCTTTCCTTAGTCTCAGTTTATCCAGTTCTGAGTTTCAGTTTATCCAGTTCTGATAGGATAGAGCTCATGATCCCCTCAAAGAGCTTGGTTTCTTCCTCACTGATGCTAGGAAGAGTAACATGAGTTCAACCTTGCTATATTCACAGCTACAACACAAAATGCTCCAGATAAAAATAGTTTATTTCTTCCCAGCTCTCCTCAGACTCCAATAACTCTCTCTTGTAATTTTCATCTGAATAGATTGCATTGCTTATAGGTTTGAGCAACTATCACGTACACCTAATCTAATTTTAGAATTATTTTATGTTTCCTAATCTCACAAATCAAATTATTTCTCTCCTGCAGTCCTTCCTGCAACTAAGGTGTCTCCAATACATAATGCTAAATTGCAAAACTCATCAGCAGACAGGAATAGATAAACAGATGGTGGCAGGCCAGAAGAAGAAAGCCAGAGACACAGCCTTCCTACTCAAGGGAAAACTCAGGCTGTTCTCAGTAATTATCTGTGCAGGTCTCCAAAGGAATTAGACACACATTGCAAAGGAGGCAGGATAGGAGCCTGGCTAATGAAAGAACTGCACATCCTTCCAGTGGATGCAGTGACAGCTGTACCAGTGTCTATATGAGCTCACAGTGTCACAGTTGTAGTAGATGGGACACCAAGAAAGGAACCTGTTAACACACCTTCACTAGCAACTCCCAGCTGCTTTTATTTTTTGTGACACTTTCAGGTTTRTTTTTAGTTATTCACTGAAAAACAAACAGTCCAGCTCCTGACCTGAGCTCAAARCTCGGGTTCTTTCCACTGAACAGTTTCCTACAGGGATAAGAGGTAACAGTTTTGCTTCTCAAATCTCAGTGACAAAGAAGGTCCTCTGCATTTTGGCCCCTTAMACAATCCAATAATGACACAGAGGAACCCTGCACCGTTCAAAGATTCCAGCTCAAAGGGGACTCCCCAGAGCCACGAGGTCCTGATACCTCTAAAAAGACTTGACTAGTTTCAATGACAGCGTTGAGGACTCGGCAAAGGAGATTGTTCAGATGGGTTCTGCCTTCTCATTTCTGAACACATAATTTACCTCTCCAGCATATTTCTCCCTCTCAYCTCCTCTGCATCATTCAGATCATGTGTGAATCTCATGTCGTAAGTTTTGGCTAACTTATGGCTGCCAAAGGGGATTCCAGTACTCAAATGACTTCTGCAAATATATCMAATCTGACATAGAATAAGCAGTGCAGAAGACTTTGCAGAGTTCATGAAAAGAAAAAAACAGAAACCACAGATCCACAGAAACTAGTGCAATTAATTCTGTATCACATACTTTTCCTGATGACTGCAAAACGAAACCACTGAAAATAGTTCTGAAAATCAGCAACTTTGTTCTAAAACCAGCAGGAAACCTTTCTGTGAGAATTTTTTGCATTCTCTGCAGTTTCATAATGGGACATGGCCCAATTATTTGTAAACTCTAGTTTGCAAAACACCTACCTCTAGGACTTTCCCAGTAATGAACTGGTGACATGCTTCACACTTGACTCCAAAAAGAACTTGGTAGTCCTTTTCACAATAAGGAGCACCATCTCTGAAAAAGAAAATACACAAATTACAAACCACTTCTTATTAAACAGATTACAGCATGACTTAGGCTCTTCCTTTGCYTTCAGTTTGGAACTCCTACACCCAGAAACAGGTAAACGGGGAGAGTTAAAGAAACAAAAATCATATTCTCACTAGTGCCTCTTAGAACTATTCCTTAAATTCCCATCAAGAGAATTTAGAAGAAAAGGTATCCAGGACAAACCACCTCMTTTCSAGCAGATTCTCTACACCTACATGTGGTGCAGTTCYRSAATCAGTGTAACTGTGAGGAGATCACAGTCTATCACACACAGACTGGTTTKGTTCACTTCAGAAAAAAATATCTTTGCTAGTCTGCAAGATGTGACTTTTAAGTCTAAGATAATGTAGTTTTTTAGTATGAACAAGAAAAATATAGTACAAGTGGAARCACTAGTCAGTCTAGGAGCTTTTCTCAGAATTTTTTTTGAGAAATTACAGATGCTACTTCTTATAAATATTATACACACCTGAATGACATGTTTGTGAAACATACATTGCTTCCCTCTTTTTTCCCTTTGTTATATGCTTGAAGGGGAAAAGAGACTTTATTTCAATTCCCTGTCTTTTATCATTTCCCCATTCTCTGCCTCTACAGCTTATTCCACTCAAAACCCTTTTCATTGGTTTCTTATATGGAGATGAGAAATACAGTGTCAAGTCAACCACATCATCATRTTTTCTCTATTATCTAGCAAAGGTAAGAAATAGATGAATTCCTATTTTTTTTCCTCAAAATCACATGTTGCAAAGCAAAATGACACAATGCTTCATATGGCTTATACAGAAAACATGCAATAATCCACCTAATTCTCTACGGTAACGTGGAATTATATCCATTTCAGACTAGTTTTAAATACGGACTGGTATAATTAAATATCACCTTTCAGTRGCACTTTGCAGTTCACTTTCCCAGCTCAGCTCTCATTGGGAACACAGATTTTGGTGTATATGCAAAGGTGGTGAAAACAGGACCTCTAGATGTGAATTTTGCTGCAGGCTCCTCTCTGTGAACAGCCAGAACTGTGCCACGAGTTCAGGAGGGATGCAGAGGGTACTCACTTGCTGATGTATTCCCCAGTTAGGACCTTCCCACAGGCCTTGCACTTAAAGCACCCCAGGTGCCACTGCTTGTCCAGGGCTAGCAGTGCTTGTCCATTTTTTATGTCTCTTCCACAGCCGGCACAATCTGGAATTAAACAAACAGATGCATTTGTTGTCAGCTTGGTTCATTAACTGCTCGCCCATCACAACACTTGGTARCCAAAGGGATGACCTGCAAAGGTGCCTTTTCCTTTTCTTAAACCCTTCCYGGGTCCTGTACAAAAACTCAACCTTTGTCACTGCAGACATCCTCGGTAGAGAAGGGAAAGCACCTCTCCTCTTTTTCGTGCTGTTTGTGACTCTGGCAAGCCCTGTCCAAACTTCACATCTCGTTAAGAGCAAGCTACAAGAATCTGCTCTGCAGAAAGCTCCTGTCTTCCACAGCAATCAGTGTTTGTTGTTTTGTTTTTAGCAAGAGCCTGAGCGCTGCCAGGAGCGGAGCGAGCAGCACCGGGAGCTGCGTGTCCCCGTTGGGTGGCAGCAGAGCCCCGGGAGTGACACAGCCGGAGTGACACGGACCCTTCTCCAGGACAGCGGGGGTGACAGCCCTGGCACTCTGCAGGGACGGAATATTGCCTTCCACCTGCAGGGATGGGAAACTGAAGTTCTCCAGCTCTCTAATCGGCAAAAGGATTCTCGCTCGGGAATTTTGGTACTCATCCTCGCTTTTCACTGCAAGAATCCTGGAGGATTCTGTTGGCAGAATGGAAACCAGAAGCCAGGAGGACTCTGTCCCACAATATCTCGTGTTACATCAGGAATCTCTAGCTCAGCCCCAAGCTTTCATTCCTCTCCCTTCAAACATGAAATACTCGAAGAGATTTCCCGGTAAGGGGCAATCCGGCACAGGGTAAGATCTGAAGAGATGGATGTGGCAGACAGCACTGAGCTGCGAGGGTTGTGCTTGTGTGCCCAGCCCCAGGGGACAGCGGGACTGAGGAAGGGGAGGGCCTGGAAGCKCAGTGGAGTGGAAAGGGAATGCCCATCAGCTGAGGAACACATGGAAGCCACAGAGGAGACAGCCTGGAACAAAGGATTTTCCAGATTTTATTATCCCCAGASTCGGTGCTCCTTTGGTGAATGCCTGAAACATCAACAAATAACAAATGGAGACAAACAGAACTGAGCAATCTGAGCTGGTAAGGCCCAGGCAGCAGGGAAAAAGATCATCCTGGCTGCTGTGCTTCAGCTGACTGAACAGGTACAGCCTTCATCTCCTCATGGGTTTGAGCCCAGGTAACACCATGTCTTGCAAAAGGGCAAGTCCAAGTTTATTATCACAACTGATAATGAGAGCAGAYTCAGTCCTTCTGACTAAAGGGCATGGCTTTTGTTTGTTGGATAATGGGCCAAAAGAACCTCAAATATACGCTGCACTTTCCTGCTATCCAGGAGCCCACCATTTGCAGCATGTCCCTCTTTCTATCAGCAYTCTTCTCAAATCCCTTAAAAAAAGAAGGGCAGAGGGACTGAGCACCATGGTWTCTTGTGACAAAATGCAAGTCACAGACTTGACACAACTTGGACTTGAAAGGCAACCCCGAGATGTCCCAATATCAGGACTTTGCTCTAGAGGACATATGTTACAAGCTGAAATCATGAAATGACAAGGAGTGACACCMTGAAATGTATCCTTCTGCTCTTCCATGACAGCTGAAGGCTCCATGCCAGTCTGTGATGACAGCAAAGGCTGGAACAGGTCACCAAGGGAGGCTSTGGAATTTCCAGCATAGGGCCGAGGAAGGGACAGACACGTGTCAGGGTGGCTTTGCTATGCTGATCTGGCCTTTGGTTTGGGGAGGATATGACATGATCTCTTGAGGTCCCTTCCAGCCCTCCTTTTCTTAAGCTAAATCTGAAACCATGCAACGTGACTTGGGCTGTGAGAACAAATGGGATCCTTCCCCCAGTCCCAGTGTGTGCTGAACTGCAGTTTTAAACAGCACCCATTTCTCAGCTCTTTGGCACTACTGCTCCATTCTAGCGTGCCCTGACCTGGCACCTGCCACACTGTGACACATTCCCTGCTACATTTCTCATGCTTTTTTCATTTTTATCTCCCATGAAGATAAACTTGCATGAAGCTGAATTTCTCAGAAAAGGCATTGATAAGGTGATTTTTAAAAGTACTTCATTTCTGAGGCAGAGGGAATAGAAAAAATGCCTTACAGGAAAGGTCTACCAAGTCTGGCATCTTTATCTTTAGCGATGCCAAAACCAGATACATGAGGGAACTGGGATCCACGGAGTGTCTCTGACTGTTTAATAGCTTCTTTCTAAGCCAAAGTCACAGTAAGTCTGAGCAGCAGAYTTAATATCATGCTCATGTTTAATACAAGGGGCTGGAAATATCCTTTTATTATTCTATAGCACCAATGACATCTACACTCTCGCTGGGTTCCTTGAAGTGTTTTGCAAAAAGGAAATTAACATCATTTCCATTCTGCTAATACAACASACACATTGAATATCTGGAATCAAAGTCAACTAATAGCCCAGTACTGTCCTATTAGCCTGAGATGGCTTTTAAATAAACCTGATTTTAATTCTGGCAAAACTGTTGGGTATATACATGAAAAGCTAGCAATTATCATTATCTCCTAAAATAGAAGGCGAATAGGGCTGGGCTGGGCTAAGAAAAGACCATTTGCTTCATCCAAATTCTACAAATAAAAGCCATTATGATCTCAGGCCTGCATGAGGCACATTTAAGCCCTTGGCTGAATGTCATCAGCGTATGCAGGCAGGATCTCAGTATCACATTAAGCACAATCTGTATCCGTCTAACCTATAACCAGMACATGCTGAAAATAAAAGGGCTGTGAGGTAAGAACAGTGGTCCACAACCATATGCCAGAGCAGCCTGAAAAACCTGAGAATCCTTCCCAAATCTGTKCACAATGGCTCCCACCTTGGCTCTCTCTGGCTTCATACCTGGCTTTAACAGACTGCACCCCTTGATTTTGAGCCTTCTTGCATTTTCTTTTTCCCATATAACCTGGATCCTTCCTTGCTCCCATTCCTTGCACATCACACATTCAGCAGTGCCAAGATAACAAAGWGGAGGAGGCAGACAGTGCAGTGTGCTGGTTAAAATGCAGACTGAGCAGTGCTGTTCCCCTATGCACTCATATATATTTGTCATACTTGACATGTCTGGGTACAAAAGAAAATGCCTGGACAAAGGGACTGTGATGTGAAGTCAGCCAGCCCAAAAGCATGGAGAAGTGGGGGGACAGGGCACAATTCCAGAACATGATACATAATTTAGACCTCCACTCTCCAACCAACTTCAGCAGCTCCACTAAAAGCCGCAGGTCAGGCTGAGCTGCCACCCATGACACCTTGCTTGCAAAGAGATGAGAAARTATGTTTCCCTTTTTAGCATCTGCATCACCCCAGACATCCAGGAGTGAAGCATCCTGCACAGCAAGCCATTTGTCACTGTCTAAATTAAGCAGTGGATTTTGTGCCTTTGCCTCCCTCCCCTGCTCTCAGCCAATGGTGCACAGGTGAGCTCAGAGCTGATACAGCTGGATTAACCCTCAGCACACAGAGTACAACTTTGCCTGGCCTCATCTGGAKTGTTTTGAAAATTTCATAGCAAACATGCCTTTATGCCACATTCTCTGCTCATCCCATATGATTTATGAAAGAGAAACCATCTCTACCTGCTTTTGTCCTCATAAACAGGGTTATRCAAAGTCATGTGAATGATTACCTCAACTCTGCTCCATGCGGGGTTAGCTCAGTGAACAAAGCTAATAGCACTCTGATTTAATGATGAATAATTAAGTCACCAAAGAGTCCATTTCAATCCTGATGGCCATTAGTAGCACATATCTAACAGATAAAGTCTGAAGCTGCCACAACCCCTTCGAGTCACAGGTATTTYGTACTCTTATTACACTCCTTTTGTAATTATTTCCCTTCCTTATAAAACATTGATACATGAGTTCTACAAAGACAGCACTAGCAGGCTTCCACTCTGAAACAGGTAAAGCAGGACAGAACTGGAGGCATTTTTATTTTAATGCTTAAAAACAATAAGTTCTCATTGGAATTGCACAGAAATACATTGTCAAACATAGCTGGACCTAAAGAGCAAGTGATTTGGAAGTGATGAAAGAGGCAAATATTATCACTGGAGTCAAGGTCAAGAAATCTCCAAGTATAAATAGCTCTTAGTCACCTTGAAAAACAGCTTATAACCCAGTAATTCTTCTGTGGCAATTTGAAGGTTGTGCAATTGCCATKTCTCATAGAGGTAAGGAGACCAGAGTTTTTTCTCAGTCACCCTTTAACCACAGATCAGGCAACGCCTTCTAAAGCTTTGCTTTAAAATTGAAAGGTTTGATGATATCATGCAGGCTTTTCCAGACCTTCAAGATATTTCTGTCAAAGCTAAAAATAMAAACTCACTATGTTCACAGCATGACAAATGTTTTCAAAGTTTAAAGCATAACCATTTGGCCACTGGGACTGTGATAAGTTCTGGAAGTCAGAGAAGGGCATACAATATTGAGAATTTTACATGCAGGATTTAAATCTAAGCAYGTAACTCAAGAAATCTGCTGCCAAACCCCTTCCCTTTGCCACTGCAAGGATGGGAAATGTTTGTCAGAACAAATTCACAACTGCCCTTTTGCTGAAGGCAAAACAAACCCACATAGGCAGCCTTGTACTCCTGAAATCTAACAATAAGAGGCTGGGCGCATACAATAGAGGGAAATAAATTTCCCATGGGAAGTGCAGTATAGCTTTGACAGTTTATTATAAATGGCAAGTTGGGAAAAACGATATTTTTGAAACAAATAGCTAAAGAAAATAAAATTATTGTAGTTGATTAAATAGGGAAAGAAATCACAATGGCATGAACTGGCATTCTTTGCTTGCAGCACAAGTTCCTGTAACCATCTGAGTGCCCAACACTGAATTTCCTTTTTAAGAAACAGGTTATTGTACATCTTGGATGTATCATTAGACCAGTCACTAGTGATGTCCCCCAGGGACCAGTGTGGGGCCCAGTCCTGTTTAGTATCTTTATTGATTATAGAGTTAGAAATAGAGTTCGGAAACTCATTA